GGGGGGGGGGGGGGGGGGGAAGGGGAGTGCCGATAACTGGAAATGTTAACTTGAAATTGAAGGGCATAACATTGATCTGACCGGTGCATGGAAGCATCCGAGTAACATTACTAACAGGAAATTGCCTAGCAGTTTTGGTTTTTTTAGAACTTATTGTTAAAAATTTCTTTTATCGCATGTGTACTGTAGTAAATCAGTTTTCAGAGATTCTCACGAAGAGATAAGATGGGCAAACTTCCACGCTGGATACAGGAATATATGACGCCGGGAAACGTCAATCTAAGTATTGAAGAAGCGGCTATGATTGCTCGAAAGTTAGTGATTTTCGTATAAGGATTTTTCGTATATGTCACATTCTAATTACCAGTATGATTTTTTTTTTTTGCAAACATCAAACACTGATGCGCAACACCTCTCAGTTTTTGGCAAAAAAAGGGACATAACATGTCCAAAACAGGATTTTTTTTTTCATTTTACTCACAAATTCATGATTCACACGACTCATCCAACTGAGAATCTACTGTTTTTATAGTCACGAAGTAACCCTTCAAGCATGCTCTCTTCCATTGCTGTTTCCTTCGCAATTAACTTTCGTTGATGGCCATTTTTCACACCCGTGCATTATCACTTAAGCGCAGAGGTATTAAAAAGGTGGGCTGTGTCTTTTGAGTCCGAAATTTAGATTTCGACGATGCTCTGAAATTTGCATCAGTCGTTAGCCAACTGGAAATTATAGCCCATATTCATTTGCTCACTGAAATAGATGTAATTTTCGTTTTATTCCCCAAATTGATGCCGGCTATTTGCAGGCTGGCTGTGGGCATACAGGCTTTTTGTTTAATCGCCTTCATATTTGCACAGCTGTTATGTACTTATTTGTCTTTCTCATACAAATTTAACTTTGCGTATTCCCCCGAAATATTTCGGAAAAAAGTTTTATAATTTTTTGTGTCGAGACTCAAAAAGTCAGTGGAAACCGTGATGAGATTTCCTGAGAACTTAGTTTTTACAGTTTCATTGGCGGGTTTTTCAAATTTCATTCCGCAGCAGGTTCTGATTTTGTTGCAGATGGCTCCCGTTGATGGCGCAGCCGTTCACGAAGGAGCATCAGCTGGGTGTATCACTACTTACTGAAGATATGCTTGCTGAAGACGAACTGTTGGACAAGAAATTTGGACATGTCCTGGAAGAAATTGATTAAAGAAAGTCGAAGTTCAAATCGTTTTGCTGAAAAATATTGATGAAAAAAAAATTATTCCAGAGAAAGAGAGAGGATTAGGAGATACACGAGAGAGTGGAAAGTACTAGAGAGGAATAATTTTTGAATGAAATATTAACGATTGGAGGAAATTTTTCATTCACCACGAACATACCAGGACAGCCCCGGGTAATCAATGAGGATACTCCAGGTAAGTAAGGCTGCTGGGATGCTCCTTCACACCACACGCTGCATTGCAAATTTCTTCGATCCTGATCTACATACCTCTAATTAGTACCTGTTGCCTACTCGATGTATGTGAGCAACCTCTGAAGACTGATATAGACTGTGACGGAAATCGCTAGACTGTGACGTAACGTCGCTTCTAATTTTGTATTTATCGGGAATTGTTATGAATTATGGGAGGAGATTGGCGCCTACAGTGTTGCTCACAGCGATTTAAACATTTATAAGCGATTTTTCAGTTTCCTTGCAAGTACCACTCACTAATATGCAACAGGCACTGATTATGGACAAAATAATCAGAAAAAAGGATGATAATCAAGGAAATAATAGTCAAAATAATCAAGAATAATCAGAAATAATCAAGAAAATAATCAGAAAAAATTTGTCAGATTGAGAAAGCCTGGGAACTGTAGCAAGTTTTCTCAGTTACACATTGCTTTCTTATGTTAGCAATCAGACCCGAAATGTCTGGTCCGATGGCGCGTTCTCGGTCTGTCCCCGAAGGTTTTTTTGTTTAATATGACAGGAAGTGAATGTGTTATTTTGTTGACATATCGGGATGGGCGGCTGCTATTAGCCGCTTGTGGATACAGTTGTCGACGGAGCAGCACGGGGGAGCAATTCCCGGCCGATTCAGACCCCCATTTTTATTACTTTTGCTGCTACAAATCGAACCTCAAAACTGGTTATCCCATTAAAAGCAAAATTTCACGGTTTTTCTTCTTGCACTGTTTGCTTCTATTTTATTGTAGCTCTACCTCATTGTCGCTGTCATTTCCAGTTACAACGAACAAGTAATTTTTCTGCAAAAGAGATCTTAACCCTCCCTCTTCTCCCTCCTCGTCGCTGCAAAAGAGGTCTCTTCTGTCACTTGGGACATGTCACTCATTCCACATGCACTTCTGAGTCAATATTTTTGCAGCTCCGCTTCGATGACTCAGTGACTTAAAAATATTTTAGTACATAAAATTTGAAAAAAACCCGGTTCCTTTTTGGAAACTCTCGGGATGTCTGCCCCATTTTGGCGGAAAAACTCCCGGAAAAATTCGGCAAACGCAGCCAGCTCGCATTTCGTGTACGGCATAGCGGTGGCCTAGTTTATCCATCAAGCTCGGCCAGTGTTGGTAATGTTGCATTGCGATTATTCCCTAATCCTTGATAATCCCCGTAAATCTTGGGTATTTGATGTTTTCTACGTTTGCACGACCCCGGTTCGCCTTCGATGGTATCACATATCACTTTTTTATTAAATTTCTTGTATTTATTTGATGTTCCTGCATAATTGTCGCAGTGTAAAAATGCATTTGGCTGAGAGGTTGCCTGTGTGTATGTGTGTGTTTTTATGCATATGTATGTGTGTGTACATGTGTTCGGTATGCACTTTGTCTCTCACTTTTAACTCATCGTTCAGCGAAGTTAGGAAGTTGAAAGATTGGGAACATTCTGTTTCCACTCCAGGTGCAACCCTCATATCCTAAAATCAGCATTCACGTACTTTTAGGTTTCACGCGCATACGCCTAAAAAACAAGAAAAATTTTTAGCGAGAAAACAATTAAGTAACCAGGCATAATTTTTTATTATTTAGTTTCTTGCATTTTTTAATTTCTGAATTTGTTACTGGTATTGGCTTTCCGGTGTATTATCTTGAAATCTTCCTTGTTCATTTTTATTGCAATGTGAATGTATAAGTGCGTAATTTTTTTTTTTCACGTTTATTGTTTCCACTCCGCATTTTTGTTTTTGTTGTTATTTTTGTCTAAAACCTTAAAATCAGTGCGGGAAATAAATGTCATCCCGCGTTTAGCAGCACTGCTCTGTACGGCTTTAAAAACCACTTGCTTATCAGTCAAGCACTATCACTGATTAACAAGCGCTCATGCAATCCTCGTGCAGTCATTTCTCATCTTTTTTTTTAATTTTTAGTCTTTTATTTTCATTTTTTTTTTTTGTTGTTTTTGCTTTCAATTTAATTTCCAATAATTTAAAGAATTTTGTCTTCTTTCCGCGTCCCCGCCGGTTCTATTCTTGTTGTCCCGCTCCCGCTGAGCACGCTTCTTTCCGCATTCCGGGTTTTTCCTCTCCGTTGCTGGTATTGATTACTACCAGTTCTATCATATTTTCGTGTTTATTGCTTGTCTAACCCAAAACCGGTCAGTGTTACGCCTTAGTAAGTGGTGCCCACGAAAAAGAAAACGACCACTCGGGCAACTATAGGGGGATGATACATATAAATCGAGGATGAAAACGACCACTCGGGCAGCCCCTGAGTACCTCAGGGTTGTATGGCCTCGCATTTTTGCGCTGAGCGAGTGGAAGCGCCAGTAATGGAAGCACTCGCGCTGATTGCCTTGTTGAAGTGAGGGAGGGGGGCTCGAGTTATTGGTGTCCTTGAGATTTACCTGTCATTCTTTTTTTATGTTTTATACTTTTTTCTTTTTTTTTATTTTTGATTTCAGTTTTACGAAGCAACTGGGCCTGTCTCGGGCACGAAAAAATGTGTTTTCGTAAATTCTAAACCAAGCTCTGGTCATGTGTCTTTTTTTGATTATGTGCAAAGAAGCGTTTGATAAACCGCTCTTAAGTGGAATTAGGAGGAGGATGAGGATCTTTGAGATTTTAGGATACTTTTTAGTGAAAGTTGAATTCGAAGTTTGATGAAAGGATGGGAATACGATAAAAAGATTTTTGTTCTTCCATTCGATGGGATAATTCATTTTTTTTTTTTTTTTTTTTTTCAGAAAATGCGAATTTGACGGATTTGTTTGCATCACATTTATCCAGCACTGATGGTGTTTGCACAGGATCGACCGATACCGGCACCTCGTACCAGTCTTATTGAACGAAAACCACCAGTGCCGAAACGGGTCCTGAGACCTGTGGTTGCACCAAGGCGACGAGATCGTGGTGGAAACGCTCAGAAAGAATTTCCGGCTAACGTTTCAGATAACCATCATGTCAAACCTCAGTCGATATCACAGAACCACTTGATTAGAAACCCTTTGCGCCGCACCAAATCTGCACCTGAAACTACCGGAGATGTCCGAAAGATGGCACCAACGAAGATACATCGACTGCATTCGTTTCATTTTTCCCCCGTTATCGTAGAGGGACATCAGTTCCGGGGCGATTTCACCGATAAAACAAACGCGGAGCAGGATGGTACCAGTGGAAGGGGCAGTAAACGTCAAGAAGCAATTCTGGAATGTACAGCTGGAAGACAAGGAAGCAGCGATGAATGTAACGGGGAACATTCAGGATTTAGCTCTTCCAGATTTTTAAAAGAAATTCCGGGAAGTCCGAAACAAGGATTTGGTGTTAGTACTGAATGCGCCAAAAAAAATTTTGAAAACCTGGGCAATTCAGAGCGCATCATCTCTGGAATTACTGAACAGGACCAGTATAGTAGTATTATTAAAAGCGGAAAAAAATATCCGAATGAAATTTCGGGAAGCGTGGAACGAGGACGAGTTGCACGAATAGCCGAAATGTTGGATTCAGCGATGCATCTTCATGAAAATGCGGCAAATCCCTCCCCAGTTACCAGTATTAATGCTGCGAATGAGCCAACAGCGACAGCCCCGTCGAACAGCGTAGCATCGGGCACCGACTGTGCTGATCCTCCAGTAGTGACACAGCAGTCCCCTGACGCACCAAATGACTGTACCGATCCAGACGACGTATTCCTGTTATCCGATTTCAATAGTAATACACAAACTGTTGGGATTTGGAATCCCGGATATGTTGGTCTTGAGGAATATCGAAGATTGGCTGAACTTTCTGGTGATACGGCTTCAACAAGCGCCACGTAAATGATTTTTAATTGTTTTTCCGTTTTTTTTTTTTGTCTGAAAAAAATCTTTTGTTTTAGGCAACACAGACTCCAAAAAGTTTTTAAGTTTCGTTTGATATTAGATAAATTATTAATTTTTCACACATTCAGTAGGTTTTAGTCTTTAATATTTTCAAATAATTCACTTTAATGTCGATCCTTTGAATAGAATAGAGTTTGTAATTCTATTAAGGCCTAATAAGCATCTTAACATGTAATATCAAATAAATCTTGAAGGGAATGAAGATTTATTTAATCATTATATAACCCTGCTTCTAAAAATTTCCTCTCTAAAAGATGAAAATCGACGTTTCTACAAGTTGATTTTAACCCCTTGACATACAGTATTTCAACTTTACGCGGTTAAAGCGAGTTGGCAGTATAAAAAGATTATTGAAAACCTTGCCCGTATTTGCTCTTTATGAGAGACGAAAATACTGGGGAATAGATTAGCAGCAACAGATACGAGCGGGAACCACTCGTTTTCAAAGCTGTCGATGGCTCCCTCTTTCAAGAGTTACTTAGAAGAAAGCTGGTATATGCCAGTACCAAGTTACCATCGAAACAAATGAATCGTAGAGGGACTGGTTGTCTTATAGGTGGAATTGAGCCTTCGATTGACTGTGCGATAACAAGTGCTACTTTCCACTAGAAGTGATACGTGAATGATAAATATGGACTAAAAACGTCAACGGGTCAGGGCGGAAAATTTTTTGTTGTATCACTATTTTGAATTTATTCAGATCAACTTAACATAAAGGTCAGCTAACATTTTGAGAAAATTGAATGCTGTGATGGACAGAGTGCCTCTAGAAGCGCTATTTGGAATTGAACCCCCTCCCCCTGAAGTGATTTCTGTAACATCCTAAAGTCTACTGATGCATTTTAATTGCTGCTAATTTTTTTTCAGTTGCACGAAGGGATTCGATTTTTGGAACAAAAATCACTGGAGCAGGAACACCGTGGATTCGCTTGAAGCAATTCCAGAAGCTGATGACGGGCGGGGAAGAACAAAATCGGATGGGAGCGTTTCGCCGGAAGAGGTGTATCTCTCTGGCTGGGCACAAGTGCATCTTAACAAAAAAGACCGCGGACGACTATGGGTAATTGTTGAAAAAGACGCACTGGCTTGCTGGGCCAACGAAGATGAGGTACCCCTCAGTTGAATAATTAGCTTGGTACGCTTGAATCTCCATTGATATTGGATTTCTATGCCCACTTTGGACATTCAATTTGAAAGGATAAGATCGAAAATCAATATTGCTTTGGTGTAAATGTTGTGTTTTAGGATGGTAACGCTGAGATTGGGCCATATTTTTTCAAAAATTTGATTTACGTCGGTAAATTCCCAATGAATAACACAATGGAGCTGCATATACGTGAAACCGTGGGTTGTAATCATTGGACGAGTGTGAAGCTGTCTCTGGAAAGCGCAGTTCTGGATTATTGGGTCTTAAGCATTGCGAAAGTAAGTACTTCCGGTTTTCGTGGCAGTACTGATCTAAATTCATATCTGAAATATAAATTTATATTTGAAGCTAGTATTTGAGGTGGTTGTTTGACTATTTTCAAAAAATACCAAATTTACCCGTGCGTTTGTCACAGTTCCAGGGCAATGGCCATCTTTTTCTGATAATACCGAGCCAAATCACACGAAATTTCTAGAAGTAGGAGTAGGACCGAAAGAATTCTATTACTGATTTGTTTTTTTTTTTTTTTTTTTTTTTTTTTTTTTTGGGGGGGGG